TGGGCCAGGAAATTCAAACTAGTAACAACAGTGACATTCTTTGAGGCTTTAATATATAAAGATTTCTGCTTTGTTTTGGGTGTCTTTAACACAGCAGAAAGTAAAACTAGTTCTAAACATTTGATTTGGTATTCTAAGTGGAAATATTATTTTATAACTAAACCAGAAAGCTAAAAAGTCTTCCAATATCTTCACACTTCAAGGCACAACTAAAAAGTCACCTATCCCAAACACTTTCTGTGCTTCCTGTAGCCCTAGCTATCCTTTCTCACGCCTGAAGAATTTGCATTTTACTCATTCCTACACATCGCATTCTGTCCTGTAAGATGATTACTTGTGAAGGTTTCATCTCTTCTGAGTGATAAACCCCAACCAGGTGAAGGCTGTATTTTGAAATGACCTCCATTAGAACCTAGCAAATGCTCAACAAACTGACCGCATAAAGTCCTTGTTTAGAAGTTTAACGCGTCTCTAGTTATTTGGCACTGGGTTTCAATCTTCCAGTAAGAGACTCCGATGGCTTTGTGAAGGTAGTTTTCATCCAACCGTTAGTTCACTTTGCTGTGTCCTTCCTTCACCCACCTCCAGCACACCTCTGTATTCAGACGAGTGAAATCGAGTCTGTCAGAGTACCATCACCTTATGACTCACCCCACTTGGGTTGAGTTCAGCAAATGAATCGATACCTGAATTGATTGTCTCTACACGGACAGCTTCAGAACTCTTGGCGATCCAGTCGAGAGAACCTCCCCCCATCACCCCTTTTGTTAAACTTCTCACTCACTGATGCTCCCACGCTTCCACCCACCTAGGAGAACTCAAGCTGCCAAATTACTTGCTGCGTACCTAGTGGCGCTGGAGACGCATCCAGTTTCCTAGCACTCTAGACCACCGTCACCATGTGAAGTCTAGGGCCAAGCCCTGCACGGGGGACCCCCGCCCCGAATCATCTCTGACCTGTTAGCCTGGCCCCAGCCTCAAGACGCCCCGCACCACTCCTTTCCCCTCCAGTCCTGCAGTCTCCATCCTGCGACAGTGCCGCGGTGTCCCCGACATTTGGGTTACTTCAAGGACTCGGGCGGGAGCGGGCACGCTGGAGGCAAAGGCGCGGGGGCCGAGGCGGGCTTCAGTGGTGGTGCCCCAGGACCCCTGGGAAAGCAGCCTGGACCCGGGCTGAGGGCCCCGGCCTCTCCCCCTGATTGACACTGCTCAGTGGAGGCGCTGGGGGTGGGGGGCTCAACATGGTCGGCAGCCAGGATCTCAGTCCTGGGCGGTCAGGGCCCCAAAAGGCGGCCGGGGGACCCCCGAGGCGAAGGTCTCCCTCTGAAGTGCCGGTCGGCAGGGTAGACGCTGAGACTGAAAGAAGGCCCATGGGACGGGTCCCGGCCAGACAAGAGAGGCGAGGAGGGTCTGCCCAGATCCACCAGCCCCTCACCTTCATGGCCGCGGCCGCCTCGTCTCGGTCGGCTCTGCTGGGGAACTCAGCACCATATCAGCTTGCCAAAGCGCCGACCTCCTTCCTTCTGGGCGGTGACTACGGCACCTCCCGCCGCGACCGAGCGTCCGGACGTAAAGGGCGTGGTCACGCTCGCCGCGCGCCCCCGGGAAGGAGGTCGAGTCGGTCTAGTCGACCAATCCGAAAGCGAGTTTCAGGGGGCTGGTCACCAGAGCCAATGAGGTGGAGAGAGTGGGGCGGGGCCTCCGGCGCCTCCAGGTGAACCTAGGGAGGACTCGCTTCAGCTCCGCGGGAACTGGGCGGGTCTGAGCGTGTCTGCGTCTCTCTCTATAACCGTTTTTTGAGTTCAGTTGCTGAGCTAGGCGTCTAAGAGACTTCTGCGGTGGGAATTTCGCTTCATGCGGAGGATTGGTCAAGTTCTTGTGGTGAAGGCGGGGAGGGCAGTGACAAACCTGAGAAGACCGGTTGGTTTGAAGGCTTTTGTTAAAACCGAGGGCCTCTCGCTCTTCCTCATCACCTTACTTCTCTTTCCAGGGTCGAGTGAGAAGGGACCTTTCAAAACTAGGGGGACTTGCAAATACTTGAACCAAGGGTTCTCAAATCCCAAAGGCTTTTTTTTTTTTTTTAACCATACAATCGACCCAGAGGATAAGCACATAAGGTCGGAGTTTCTAGCCCACGAACCGTTCAGTGGAAGAAAGACGAGGCTTTCTGCTCCTGCTAGGATTTACAACCTCAGAAACCTTATACAAGATCGCTATGAGTTGTAACAGACTGTTGTTGTTGTTGTTATGTGCCATCGAGTCAGTTCCGACCCATAGCGACCCTGTATAGGGTTTCCGAGGGTGTAAATCTTTATGGGAGTAGAAAGCCTCATCATTCTCCCGCGGAGCAGCTGGTAGTTTCGAACCGCTGACCTTAAGGTTCGCAGCCCGATTCGTAACCACTACGCTACCAGAGGACAGCACTTAAACAAGTGTAGTCACAGAAATGTTCACTTTCAGAACATTTTCTACCCCCAAAGAAGAAACTCCTATTGTTTTAAGTATTACCTTTCTCCCAAAAACTTCACACACATACGCACACCTGAAAGTAACTCCCTTCTGTCTCTTAGATTTCATAATGGAATTTTTAAAAGTATATGGTCTTTTGTGACGCGTCTTTCACTTTGCATAATGGTTTCAAGGTTCATTCAGGTTGTAGCACAAGTCAGTAAGTACTCTATTCCTTTTTTTGGCTGTCATGGTATGGCTGGCTCCATTTTGTTTATCCTTTCATTTGATGGACAATGGGGTTGCTTCCATCTTTTGGCTATTGTGAAAACTATCTATGAACATGTATGTACAACTTTTCTTTGTGGACTGGACCAGACTTATTTCATTTGTTGTTGTTAACTGCCGTTAAGTCGATTCCAATCCTTAGCAACCTTGAACAGGGTTTCCGAGGCTGTAAATCTTTACGGGCGCAGAAAGCCTCATCTTTCTCCCGTGGAGCAGCTGGTAGTTTCGAACTGCTACCTCGCGGTCCGCAGCCCAATTCGTAACCATTACGCTAACAGAGCTCCTTTTCTTCATTTAGGGGGTGGGTATATGCCTAGGAGTGAGTATTGGTTTGGCGCTGTAGAATAGGCACTGAATTGTTAACCACAGGGTTGGCAGTTCAAGTCTACCAGCCCCTCTTGGAAACCCTACATAGGGTTACTATGAGTCGGAACAGACTTGACTGCACACAACACAACAACTGGCTAAAAGAGACAACTGGTGTTTAGTGGAAATGTTGGGTGTTATGCTTTAATCATTTAAGGAACTGTCGAACTGGTTTTCAAAGCATCTCACCCGTTTTGCATTCCCGCCAGCATCAACTGATCTTTTAAATTAATGTCAAAACAGCCAAATCTGAGTACAGGTCCATGGAACTGACTTTTTTTGATAAAGAAGTTGAGGTTATAAATTATGATACTAATTTCTTCAAAATATTTCAGGAAGAAGGAGAACTTGGATTTAATGACATTCTGCCAGTGTTCCTACACTTCCTTCTCTCACCTCTAACTTAACCAGTATTTAACGATTTCAATCATGAGAGAAAGAAATTTAAAGAGGCCACCTCCCTTATCATGAGGACCTGAAGCTGTTCTGTTCCTTTTTAATAGACTTGATTAGATACAGCAGATTAAAACATATGCAAAACCACACCACTCCCTTCTCATACTGAAATAATATATTGTTGTGTGCCCGTTCCGACTCAGCCACCCTGTCTAGGACTTTCAAGACTATAAATCTTTATGGGGGAAAACAAAAAATCTTTATGGAAGCAGAAAGCTTCATTTTTCTCCCACAGAGTGGCTTGTAGATTCAAACTTCAGATTTTGCAATTAGCAATCCAATGTGTAATCCAACATTGTTGTTGTTGTTACGTGCCGTCGAGTCGGTTCCGACCCATAGCGACCCTGTACAGGGTTTCCGAGGGTGTAAATCCTTACATACCAGCTTTTAAACCCATTGCAATCACATAGATCCCAACTTATGGAGGCCTTATAGGACCTAGTAGAATAGAATTGTCCTATGGTGTTTACAAGACGGTAATCTTTACAGAAGTAGATCTCCAGGTCTTTCTTCCACAGAACAGCTGGTGGGTTCAAACCAACGACCTTTAGGTTAGCAGCTGAACACATAACCACTACGGCATCAGGGTTCCCTACATTAGTTTCCTCATTCTTCTCCAAGCACTGCTCAGATCATGTAACTTAACCTATTATCCATGATACTCCTGGATTTCTTCTTTGGTAAAAAGCAAAGAAAGCCTTTCATTCCCTATGTCAGGGTAGCAGCCAAGCTTCAGAAGAAGAGAAAATATTAATTAACTCTTCTAGTGATCTAGGCACAAAGAAACAATAAAAACTTGGGTTATAAAGCCATCCTTCTCATTAGAAGGACAGCTGGCAGGTTGACTTCAAGAGTTAATGAATAAACACATGAAAAGGTGCTCAATATTGTTTAGTCATCAGAGACATGCAAATCAAAACCATAATGAGATACCACTTCAGACCTATGAAGATGACTAAAAATAGACAGATGCTAAATGCTGGTGTTGGTTCCTCCAGAGTAGACATGCTAAAATGAATGGAAGAAATGAGGAAGTCAAAGAGCGGAGCAGAAAAAAATTAAGGGCAGCTAGAGAAGAAGAAGTAAAGTATTCTAATGAAATGTGCAAAGACCTGGAGTTAGAAAACCAAAAGGGAAGAGCACGCTCAGTATTTCTAAAGCTGAAAGAACTCAAGAAATCCAAGCCTCAACTTCTCATACGGAAAGATTCTTTGGGCAATGTTGAATAATGCAGAAAGCATCAAAAGAAGATGGAAGGAATACACAGAGTCACTGTACCAAAAAGAACTGGTTGATGTTCAACCATTTCAAGAGGTAGCATATGACCAAGAATAAATGGTAACTCAGAGGCAATCTCATTGCAGAGTAGAGGCAGTTTAGCAGGCGATAGAGGCTGCTTGAACTCCGGGGTAATTCACTCCGTTTTTAGTTCATTTTCTCTTTCCACCCACATTCAACATGAAAGAGTTCAGTCCAGTGAGGTCTGTTAGGAAAAACAGCCTTTCGAACCACAACCCAGGTATTTCCCGGAGCAAGACCCCGGTGGACGACCCAATGAGTCTGCTGTACAATATGAACAACTGTTACTCCAAGCTCAAGGAGCTGGTGCTCAGCATCCCCCAAAACAAGAAGGTGAGCAAGATGGAAATCCTGCAGCACGTCATTGACTACATCTTGGACCTGCAGATTGCCCTGGATTCGCACCCCACTAGTGTCAGCCTTCACCACCAGAGGCCCAAGCAAAACCCGTCCTCCAGGACACCACTGACCACCCTCAGCAGACATTAGTATTCTGTCCTTACAGACTTCAGAATTCCCGTCCGAGTTAATGTCAAATGACAGCAAAGCACTCTGTGGTTAAGTAAACAGTGTTCATGACTGTGAGTTTTTTGTTTTGTTTTGTACAACAACAACACAGGATCTTTTAAGGCGCTTAACTTAAATTTTCAACCGTTTCACAGGGGAAGACAACAACAAATTGAAGGGACCATTAAAAAAAAATGGAAGGAAAACTAAATGATCATCTTCAGGGTCTTCTCAAGAATGACGTGGACTGATAATAATCATTTCTAAGAAAGACTTTTCAATGCCCTTTCTGCATCTTTATATACTCTTCCCAACATGGGGAGCAAAAACATTAAAATCACAAGGAATTGCCCAATTTAAGCAGACTTCACCTTTTTTCAAAGGTGGAGCATGAATACAAGAAGAATCCAGTGTTCTAGTTACTTAGTTACTTAAATCTAGTCTTTTGGTCAGAATTACGTTTTTGACGCAAGCCTACTGAATGCTGTGTATATGTATGTATGTATATATATA